TACTTCTCTGACTTGCCCTGAAAACAAACGATTTATTAATTTTGATGAGAACTATATTAAAAAAAATATTAAATGAGCAAGAAAATCCCATTACTGCAAGAAAAACATTAACAGGCACAAACCTACTACATGAATTCATTTCTAAAAACAATGATGCTCGGCTAATCCACGAAATTACAAATTACATTTTATGCAAATATATTGTGTTTGCTTGCGAGGCATAGGTTTATCGGTTGGGCACAAGCTGCGCAGTCATAACTATGGACACAGACGTGAAAGTACAGATATGTAATGAATGCTAATATATAGACTTGGAAATTTAATAAAAACCATGTCAACACCAGCTGGAATTTCAACGAACAGACAAAAAACTTACCAATCACAGTGCAAGAAAACACATAGTTCAAAAGCTGAATCCCCATCTCACATCATGCAAATATCCAGTCATAAAAATATTTAGAGCATCAACAATTATTCCCATATAAATGATAATCAGCACAAGAAAATATCATCAATTCGTTCTGGTTCAGAATACAACTGAAGTGATTTGCCAAATGAAGGAAGCTTAGATAAGGGCTATTGAGATCTACCATAAAATCACCCTGGGCGACCTTCGGTTATCGTGATTTCTTGACTATGGTCGAACTAACTGAATCCGAATTTCATTTAGTCCGGACCATAGTCCGAAAATACTGAACCATGCTATTGCGGCATGGTCTGAGTAGTTCCAAGATGGCGGTGTCGATGAAACGAAAGTGTAGAATACGTAGAAAGAATCTAATTTTGTTAAGTATATGATTTTAGGCAAGCTTGAATGGATTTTAAATGGTTGCTACGTCTATGAGCAGATAATTTTTGTCTCGTATGTTATGTCTGAATCTATGTAAGTCTAAAAATTACGCATTATTTCAATATTTGCGCAATTTAAAAAGTAAAGTCAAATTACAAGGAATTTTGTCGTGCAAATTTAACTTCATGAAAGTATTATTTGTTTATTAAAGTATATAACACAGCGATTCGTTATCCTCCATGGAGAGATTTATAGACCTTCCTGGAGCTTAAGGGGTTTTTTTCAGGGTTATGGTCGAGGTCTAAAGCAGAGTAAAATGACATCACCATGTCCCTGGGGGCAGCCATCTTTGAACAGACGATGGTCCGGACCATTCGCGTTCGGTTTCTAGTTCCGACCACTAGTCGTGAAAAAATTATAACCGAAGGTCGCCCAGTCTGCTAAACAAGCGATCGTGATACCCATATAATCCACTGGTCTGCTAGACAGGCGACCATTTCTAATCCGCAATAAAACACACCCGGCTAATCAACCTTCTTATATGCGCTCCAAGAATATACAAGAGTTTGGGCTATCCACATAGGTAGTCGAGTTTTGGCAATCCATCAATGCGATTGAGTTTGGGAGAGCCAAACCTACCCTGAACGTTAGAAACATGTCAAGTTACGAAATCACTGCACGACTACCAGCGTCCACTCCCAACATCAACCGCTGTTTTTTCATCATAATTGTTGTCTTTACAAATAACAGTAGTACAAACAAACGCGATCATTTGGCATATGTTTTTGGATACAGCAAAGTTCTCAATTACCATAAACAATTACAATACTCCCTATAAACCTACAGGAATTATAGATAGTGACACCGATTAGTTTCTTTATCAATCATGGCGTGTTCACTACGTAATGGCCTTGACCTTAGAAGAACCACCAGGTCAATATACAGGACTTTGCAGGACCTTGTTTTTGTTTACTTTATCTGTGTTGATACCCGTAGAGGGTCTTTACATATCACTTTCGACACAAACAGTAATAATAGTGACAACACGAAGGGGGGGGGGGGCAAATGGTTAATGCGAGCGCGTTGCATCATAAGGACTGGCATTGAGTCAGGTGGCAGGGTTTCGATTCCCCGTTTGTATGTGGCCTGGAGTAGGGTCGCTTGTCAAACTTCGTGGGTTTTCTCCGGTTTCCTCCAACGGCTACAGACCTCTACGCGCAAGCGAATTATTGAAAACAAATTGAACTATATGTTAGTTCCTAAATGACCTAATTCTTTTCGACAACAGGAAGGTCTTTATATATCATTCTAGACAAGAACAATAATAATAGTGGCACCACTTTCATATGAGCCAGTCCACTCTGAAGCAGTGGACACATTAGCCGAATTATTCGGCCGAATGGGTGGACACATTAGCCGAATTATTCGGCCGAATGGGTGGACACACTAGCCGAATGCTTCGCCCGATTCACCAGTCGATTGCATCATCTTTCACGTCACATGATTAACCATGGCGGCGTCTATGTCTTCAAACTATCACGTGACTCCTCTATAGGAGTGGTGATCGGCGAATGAATTCTACATTCGGTCGAATGCTTCGGCGAAGCGGACACACCAGGCGAATGTTTGATTCGGGCGAATCATTCGGCCGAATGACAGTGGACACACTAGGCGAATTTCGACGCCGATCGATTCGGCCGAACCATTCAGCTAGTGTGTCCACCGCTTAAGCGAGAACTTTATACACCGATATAGTTTTAACGACGGTCATTATACTAATAACAATCGGTACATTCACATTTAAATGTCTGGCTAACAGTCTAGACTATTAAAATGTTAAATAGATACGGCTTATTTAAACAATGTATCCAGTCAACTATATTGTACACAACAAGCTTGGTATTATCATATAAGCGTTTGTCAGAGATAATAGTATTTGATTGTTTAAAACAAGGGGCGTGTCCAGCGTGTCTACACAATGTATCCAGTCAACTATCTTGTACATCAACAAGCTTGGTATTATATAAACGTTTGTCAGAGAGATAATAGTATTTGACTGTTTAAAACAAGGGGGGTCCGTTGTGGAGACAAAGTCAAGTATGGCGTACGGTCTGAATCATTACCAGCAATTCAGAAACTTCGAGAAAATATTTCTGTTTATTTAGGTGCATACATGTCCAGGATGAGAGTACAGTGGGGCCAAGATGGCGGCCATGGCGTACATAACGATCTTGTTTGGGGGGTGTTTAGCCAAAATGCGACCGACTGATGCACATTCCGCCAGTACGAGTGACACAGTCAGGAGCCGCCCACCACACGTGCCAGTTTTCTAGGGGTCATGTGCAGTAGCGGATCTAGAAGCTGGGAATAGGGGGTGGGGTGGTTCCAAATCTAGTACGCCATTAACAATCCAACCCCACAATGAATGTCAACAAAATAATGGCTATAACATTAAGCGTCCCAGTAGAACATAGATAGTATTGTATAATTATATAGTTGTTCGCCGATTGTTGTCTCGCCGGAAAGCAGTTTAATTTAAGTTGACATAAAGTTTATGTCATATATGATGATTGTGCCTATAACACTGAGCAGCCTGAAAAAAATTTGGAAAAATTGAGTCAATATCCTAGCATTTGAGATCATTGCTGGGAGAAAGTCTTGTGGACGAGAGGACCAGAAATATGAGTCAATGGGACAGAATCTCGAGATCTGCACCTGTCAATTCAGCCTGTTTTGCAAGAGTTGACATATCATTTGTATAGTCTGACGCTCCACGACCCACACACCAGAATAACCGTGAACATGATAGTGCTGAGACAGTATAAGACAACAGAGGAATAGAAGAATGGTGTTATAACGGAATCGAGCGCCGCAGGCCTGAAAAATTTAAGATATGTAACCGAGCTTATAATTTTTCGGGATTGGGCTTGAAAATTTTAGTCCATGTTATAGCAAATGGAACCAAATTCTCGTTAAAGAGAGGATAAGAAATGGGACAGAATATTGTGGCCTATCAGTCAATTTCGTTTGTTTTGTGATTGTTTGTTTAACTCATTAATTCAATTAGTATGAGACCGACTGCGGTGATCAGTACTTTTTTTGAGGCCGACTATTTTTTTGCCATGGGGGAAAAACAGTTCATAGACCAACATACTCACAACAGAATAAGAGTGACAAACATTTTTTCAAACATGACAAGCAGACATGGTTATTTTATACTATAGTTTTGTGTAACGTATGCATTTTAGGCTCATAGATTCACGCAAATACAAAGTATTTGGGATCTTTTCTGGCATTCTTTGTTTACCTCATTAATTCATAAAGTCGCCGATGCATAATTTTGAGACCGACTGCAGTGACTTCACTTATTTTGAGACCGACTGTTTTTCTCCCTGGGAGAAATTTGGTTCTTAGACCAACATACTCCCAACAGAATAAGAGTGAAACACAACATTTTTTCAAACATAAGTTGACAACCTTATTTTATACTAAATTTTTACGTGAGTAACATGACGTATGTAGTGAGCACTTATAAGTTATTTTGATACCGACTGCTCTTATTTTGCGACCGACTGCACTGATTTTGCGACCGACTATTTTTCTTTTACTGGGGGGGGGGGGGGGGGGCATTCAATATCATCCAAAGTCTTCCACATTGAAAACACGAATTATTTGTCAATTTAAATCAACATTGATGATGTGATCTTACCGGGAAAAGATGGGCTTCTGATAACCACAATTTAAGACAAAAAAAAACATTTTGCCATTGATGCACGAATCGTGTACCTTAATGCGTTGCAGTGCCATTTGTAACAAGGGAATCGATAAACGAGGCTAGATATTTTACAAGTCATGTTAAACGGTGAACGCATATTCTTATCTGGAGAACATGAGCAATAAACTGGAATAACCAGGCGCTAGAGATTCCCATTCGGTTGAGATCTCTTGCGTATTTCGCCGAACATAACTGATGATTTGAAATTAAGAGTAAAAATGGAAAAGCGTGAATGCAAATCAGTTTTCATACATTCAGATTATTATATACGTTGCGTCCCATATGTCTCAATTTCTAGGTCCCAAACATTAGCGGTTTAGCTCCTTTAACACACGAGACATCTGCATGTCAAGATAAAATTTAATACTAAGCGATCATTCAACCTATATTTAAAAGTGTGTCATAGCGTCCAAGACCCGAGACGCTGTCGGTATATCTAAGAGGCCTGTATTGAGTTGATGCCTATGGTTTATATACGTATACAGCTGACAAAGTATAAAGTCAGTGCACGTAGACATATATACGACGTTTATATGCTATTATAGTTCATGATATTTAAACATACAGCTGACCAAATCTGCCAACTGAATGTGGATATATCTCAAAGGCATATATGCTATTATAGTTCGTAGTTTATAAAGATACTAGATGTGGATATATAATTCAAGGACATATAATTGTGATTGTTTGTGATCTACATTTATAAATATGATTAACGTATGGGATATTATAGCAGTATTTACTGATGTTACAACAATTTTAATGACTCTTGTTCTCTTATTGGTTATCGGATATGTTATCTCAATGCAGGAACGATCTGGGATACCTCCTGGACCACCATTTTGGCCAGTTGTGGGAAACATGTTGGATATTCGAGGCAAACTCGTAGGTAAGAGACATAAATATTATGCAGAACTTCAAGAAAAATATGGCGATATTTTTCGAATTTATTTTGCTGACCAGTTGTTGATAGTTTTAAATGATTTCGAATCTATTGAGGAGGCATTTGTTAAGCAACGTGATCTTTTCAGTACCCGGCCAGTAGAAAAGTTATGGGTTGTGAATCAGGCAGGAAAAGGTGGACACGGGATAATCTGGGCGAGTGGTCAAGAATGGAAAGATGCGAGAAGAATGTCGATTCATACTCTTCGTGATCTAGGAGTCGGAAAATCTAGACTGGAAGAAAAGATTAAGGAAGAAATTGAAATCGTTCTGGACAGTTTTACACAATCTACAGGAAAACCAATTAACGTCCATGAAATTTTGAGGAAAGCTTCAACCAACATTATCTGTATAGTAGTATTTGGCGAACGGTATGATTATGGGGATCCAGCATTTATTCAAATCCTTAAAGTACTAGATGATGGATTTACTGATATGGTGCTTCATACACCTGTTCATAGATTTCCTCTGCTTCGATTCATACCTTTCATATCTTCTAAAATGGTGTCGGTGAAGACTGCCTATTTGAAGGTTGTGGAGATTATTGCTCAACGCATTGAGAAACGTAGACAGGTTTTCGATAAAAACGCTATACAGGATTTTATCGATGTGTATTTGGATATGTCTGCTGGCGGCGAGTTCAGTACCATCACAGAAAGCAACACGAGAAGGGCCATTTCGGATCTAGTATTTGCTGCTTCTGATACAACAGCCACGACTCTTGATTGGGCAATGCTCTTCATGGTCCTTCATCCGGAAGTCCAGAAGAAATGCCAAGAGGAAATCGACAGTGTAGTCGGTGATGGAAGAATGGTCGATTGGTCTGATAAGTCTAAATTGTCGTATAACGAAGCAACACTTCTAGAAGTACAACGCCTCTCAAGCGCAGTACCCATGTCTGCTCCGCACACTACGAACAAAGATACCGTAGTTAAAGGATATCTTATCCCAGAAGGTTCTTTGGTTTATGCAAATTTGTACGCCTGTCATCGTGATTCTAGATACTGGAAGGAACCCTTGGAGTTTAAACCAGAACGGTTTTTGGATATCTCGGGAAAAGTATCCAAACAGCCTGCTGCATTTATACCGTTTTCAATAGGTCCACGGATTTGTGCAGGTAAAATACTGGCAAGAATGGAACTTTTTCTATTTTTCACCAACATCTTACAGAGGTTCACCGTTTCGACTCCCTCCACTGAGAAACCCAGTACTGATGGAATTTGTACAGTGGTTATTTCGACACCAGAATATACTCTCATCGGAACACGTCGATAAGTTTTCTGTAAATTCATTAAAACAAACATATTGGCTGGCTTAGTTACCTTTTTCTGATTTTAATGTATGTTAATAATGCGATCGGTCTATTCATCCACGCTTACTCATATAACGGTTTTCGCCGATTTTCCCAATTTTTTTTTAAAGGGAATGTCGATTTACAGAGTGTAGAGAGAGAGGTGAGGTTTAACGCCTATTCGACACAAACTAGGTCACACAAACTAGAGAGGGGGGGGGGTAACGTCCAATCGACAAAAACTAGGCCATTTCGGGACTAACTTGATTCAGTTTTATTTCAATAATTCGCTCGTGGGTAGGGTCATTAGTAGTGCTGAAAACAGTTGGACAGGCAACCCTGACCATTGTCACGTACAAGTGGGGGCTCGAAACCACGCTGCGTTACCCATTCGACCACCCAACCCCCCAGAAGGATGTATGTTACCTTGTAAACTGTTGGAATAACGTCTTGTGAGACGTTTAGACATTGAATAGTCTCTACGCATTTCAAGTAAACACCCTTTTATCGCCCGCCTTAAAACAAAGCATGTCCACCAAACCTGAAAGATGATTTATATTGAAACCATTTTCTTGCAGACTAAGCGAACGGGGTCTTCCCATATCGCCGACTCACCGAGTTTTGGAAAGTCGACCGCGGCACCCTTTGATGGGATTAAAACGGATTAAAAGCGTTAATAAGGCAGGGACCAGTCATTATTATTATAGTTCACCGAAATTGATTTTTATCAGAAGTCGACTCACTCACTAATTAATAAAATTAATTGGAAAAGCTCATCCTAATATTTTTGAAGTGATGGCATTTTTGCAAGAAGGGCAAAAGACGATTGAAATTCAGTTACTGCAGTATGCAAGTGGCCAGCGACAACCACCCAAAAAGAAAAAAATACACCGATATCAACAGGAAGATTCCAAGCATAGATATGAACAAGGAAGACTGAATTTATTAGAATTTTTGGACTATGTTGGACACTTTATGCGTGCAAAAATTTAAAATTTTGTTATGTTAGGTGTTAAAGATTGTTATAAATTAAAAAAAAAATAATGCTCCCAAAATTATCCGTTAAATGAGGTTTATCCTTCAGCTTGGGTCTAATGTTCTTAGCCACTCATTCCCATAACGTCAACCCAAATTTTTCCCCTAAAACTCAGTGAGTCGGCGATATGGGAATGAACCAAGCGAACATATCTCGCTAAAAGGGGGCGGGGAAAGAGAAAGACTGTAAATAACTGGTGAACGAGATTACTAGATCATGCGTGAACTATTTAGTCAGATTCAACGCCATAAAATCGTGCGTGCTCCAATTTAGGTGTGGTTCAAAGGTCGAGAGCAACAGATTAAATGTGCATTATGTAAGATATTATTATGTAAGTTTCAGGTTGATACCTTAATGTAGACATTTGATATTCATTAAGCTATTGTTCTAAATTACAAAATTACTTTTATATGATATAGTGTCTTTTGGGTAGAATATTTACCTTTTCTTTATTTTTTTTTTTTTTTTTTTGTTTTTTTTTTTTTTGTTAAACAAAATAATAATGATATTAACCTTTGCAAAGAAATATAATAGAAAATGAATGCATTGAAAACTGCATTCAAATTATGCATGTTACTTAAACGATTAAACATTTTAACAAGATTTAGAATAAACTGGTCTTGTCTGTCGAGTAACATTGCTACGATAACAAACGAAATCTCGATTATCCAGTATAACGTTTGCCGATTACACGGGCCGGATGATCTAATCTATTTAGTAACTCTGCGATCCCAAGGTATAGAGAGTTGGTGTATGCAGTTCAAACCCATTTCATTTCATTCTAAGTGATGATTGGCTTGCTATAGGAATACATGTTTAAATAATGATTTATAAAACGTTTAAAGAGAGAGAGAGAGAGAGAGAAATGGGGTTTAACGTCCACTCGACACAAACTAGGTCATTTCGGGACTAACATATGGTTTAATTTTATTTCAATAATTCGCTTGCGCATAGGGGTCTTTAGCAGTGGGAGAAAACCGGAGGACCCAGAGAAAACCCACGAGGTTGGACAGGCGACCCTACTCTTAGTCACGTACAACCGGGGATTCGAAACCACGCCAGTCGACTCAATGACAGACTTTATGATACAGCGCGCGCACGCTAACCATTCAGCCATCCACCCCCCCCCCCCCCAAAAAAAAAACCCCAAACATTTAAAGCATAAATTGTTATAGATAGGGAAATCACATCATGCCCTATTCACGACAAGCGCCACTAATCAGCGTTAAATAGATAGATTATTCGAACCGGTATCAAATTGGGTCGTTAAACATTATGTAAGCATCTTTCTGGCAAATCAGAACACCCTATGTAACTATGATTCAGAAAATTTCCCTCATAGTACACTGTATGCCCGTCTTCATTAGCCATGTTTAGGAGCAGGGCCCTGTTTCACAAAAACTTAAATCTCCTTATAATCGTCTTAAACTAAAATTCCATCCTAACTTAAGATAGATGCCTTTCACAAAACGATTTTAAGCATTTTAGATAAAATCCACTAAAATAATATTGTAAGTTAAAATTCTATCTTAACTTAAAATAGTGGCGTTTCACAAAGCTATTTTAGGGACAATTTTAACTAAAATCAATTTTAACTTAGGACAGCCGTCACCCTCTCCTAACTTAAAATCACGACATTAACAAACATTGATTAGAGCTACGTTGTGGGATCTATTGCGACATATGGATATATTTGGAATAATGATAATATTGCCAATGGTTGTATAATTTAAACATACTATCATTCACAAAAATAATTTTCATTCATTGTTTTTTTCATTGCATGGGAAATATAGCTGCTACCCACCCGTTTATTTTATTGTAAGGCAATATAAGCAATTAGATGACGCCCCAAATTAAAACCCCAAGAACGAAAAAAAACCTCAAAACTCTTTGTTACTATTTTATATATTACCATGATTCAAGTATAAATAATATTTTTTTCAAATAATTAATAGACCCCCCCCCCCCCAAAAAAAAAAAATCCTTAAAAAATCTAAACACACTTCATAGTCTATCTAATTTCTAAAAAAAAAAAAAATTTGTAGGCCTTCAATTGTTTAAAATGAGAGAGAGAGAGAGGGGGGGGGGTGAGGGGGGCTTTTCGGGACTAATACATGGTTCGCTGTTTATACTATCGATTTTAGCCGATATCTAAATGTACAAACATATTTACAGAGGAGTGCTGGGTGGGTAGGCAGGTTAGGCAACTCTGTCCTCAAAAATGCAAAAACAGAAATTATCTGAGATTTCCTACCGGCGTGGCCATGTTCCTTGCCTCCCCAAAAAGTGCCCTCATTTCGTTTTGTTCTCGGTTGTTGCTAGCTATGTCCATGTTCAAATCTTCAAGACTTCATCATAATCCCTCAACCAAGTATCAATGTATGGTATGTCATGGCTCAGATACGTCAAATCTATTCTAGCACTGAACTAAACAATTGTTCTGCCTACCCTCCTTCGGAGGCTCCAGCACGCCTCTACATAATTATGTTAATTTCTGCGTTTGGCGTTGTTGCTGTCAAGCGGGATGGGGGCGGGAGTGTTGTTTTATTGTTGAATTCCTCATCAGTCTGCGTCCTCAGTTCTCATAAAACGGGACTATACGGTCATAATGTTACTGATGTATTACCAATCATGTAAATCTTGGTGATGACAGGTTGGAGAGGATATTTAAATCTCACAACATGACGGTAGATGTAGATTCATGACTAGTCGTGCTTGTTTGTTGTTTGAATTGTATATAGCATTAAACCGATTTCTCTTTCTATTATTGGAGATCACGGTGGCTAAGTGGGTAAGACGCTGGCTCGCTAGCATGGAGGTCGGGTGTTCGATCCCTGCATTGGTCGAGAAAGTTCATCCAGATTTTCCGGCGTGGTTTCCCCTTGTCAGTGATGCAGGACGGAGGGCCTGACAAGGACAGCTGTCTAGTCGTTCGGATGAGACGAAAAACCGAGGTCCCGTGTACATTGGCGTGCATGTAAAAGATCCCTTGACAGTTGGGATTCGATATAAGAATAGGCAACATTTCCCTCATAGCACACTGTACGGCGTATGTCCGTCTTCATTAGCCCAGTTTAGGAGCAGAACAGTAGGACGTTAAACCACATTTCATTTCATTCCATTTCTTCCTATTATTGTATAGTACAGTCATTAGCCTGGATATACCGTGCATCATGGACAATAACGATCGTTAAGCCAGGTTTATCTTGGATAACCAATCATGATCAAGGAGGAAAACATTAACAGCCGAAATGTAAAATATTATTTCCGGGAATAAAATTAAAGTAACATGTCGACAAGAAGTTCATTGCTAAAACCTTTAGATCTAAAATTAACGACCAAATAAAACTTACTGATTTTATTTCCAAACACAGCTGATGCATATTATTTATTGGGAGAACTCCCCAAAAACATTATGTACAACAAAACACCTGTGATCAGGTAATTGTGTATGGAGGGATGAGGAATCCAAGATGCATCTGTTCAGAGGTAAAAGAGGCCCATTTGTGTGAATCCTGCTGCAAAAGTAAGCTTTTTTATATTTTTAAATATTTATTTTCTAAATATTTGTTATTTTCGACTACACTGTACGGGTGAACTGGACCACAGGTACTTGAAGGGGTTAACATTTCTTACATTATCTGGTCTAGCATACCAAAATATATACAAGGCATATCACGCATATCACTCAGGGGATTGGGGGGACGAATGATTTGCGCGTGAATGTTGTATCATAAGGTCTAACATTGAGTCAACTGACGTGGTTCCGATTCTCCAGTTGTACATGACAAGGAGTAGGGTCGCCTGTCCAACCTCGTGGGTTTTCTCTGGGTCCTCCGGTTTTCTCCCACTGCTAAAGACACCTACGCGCAAGCGAATTATTGAAATAAAATTGAACCATATGTTATTCCCGAAATGACACGGTTTGTGTCGAGTGGACGTTTAACCCCATTTTTCTCTCTCCGGAAGACGTGGCGTTTGGGGAACCGCTTATTTCTGGTTGGTTAATGCAAATTTAGTTTTTATTACTGATGTAGCACTATGCAATAATATGTGTCGCTGGTTTAATGTGGAAGCCAAACATGCAAATAAAAAAACCCACATCCGACGTGTGACCCATACTCCCTCCTCTGCCACATATTTTAAGAGCCTTGTGATCGTCTAGTATTGTCTCTGGTTATATCTGTTATTCTTTACGCATCGTTAAGACGTATCTTTTAATGTCACTGATATCCCACGTTGTGAATTTATTCTTATTTTGTTCAGTTTATGGTTACGTACAGAAATAACAATGCAACGGTTCGTTTCTAATCCTTTAGAGACATTTAGTAACTGGGTAGAGCAAAATACTATAACACATGCTTATGGAAGAACAATTACTAATTTAAACATGCCTTGACTTTCATGCATGCTTAAGTTTATTTAATTCGTGAATCACGTGTATTAATTTGTGAAAATATTGTAATCTACTTGCAAAACTAATTTCAATAGATATGGCATGTCTATAAAACTAGTTTTCTGTTACTAATATGGTTCCCCCACACTAAACTTGGGCAACGTGTGTGTCTATTGGGAGGAAGTGTGTAGGACTATCATCATTTAGGAGTCTGTGGTTAAGACTGTGGTGTATGCATTCCGATATCCATAATCTATCCATTATATTCCACTTAATTAAGGTCTAATTGCTTAATTATCATTTAGTAAACTAGTTAGCTGTTTCTTTTATTTAACCTGTGTAAAATGTGTGTCTCAGTTGGGTGGAAGAATATAGGACTATTTTATCTAGGAGACCGTGGATTGGGCTGTTTTGTGTGCATTTTAATATTATATTTTATATTTCACTTGATTATGGTCCAACTATTAAATCCCTATTTAGTTTATGTATGGTTTCCCTTTTGTTTGTTTTTCATGTTCAGTTGTTACTACCTATTATCAGTCTTTTACTTTCCTTTGATGTACCCTGGCCTCATGAATTGCTTCTGATTTGTCATTATTGGTTGTCTGACTCAATTGTTTAACCAAATGAATAATTATTAATATCTTCAATGTTAATTAATGGCAATCACCAGTTGCCTCACTAATCCTTTATGTGCACCTTGCCTTTAATTTGTAGCATAGTCGGTCAAAAATGAAAAGCACAATTACCAAAGTTGATCACATAAGAGGTGTGATACCATTACTACTTCGTTTTGGCCCTGGTCTTCTGTGGTATGACAATGTCTCAGCTCTCTAATATTGTAGGCTACTTCACGTGATTCGGCAATCAAATCAGATATATATGAGGAACACAAAATGTTCTTATATTCGTTTTTATACTCAGTTTACTAAGTGAACTTAATAAG